AGGGGAAGCGGGCTGGGGGGGGGTGTGCCCAGGCCTCCGCGCTCAGGCCCGCCCTCTGTGGGCTGCTGATCCTTGCCAGCAGCCTGGGAGCCGCCTCAGATGCGGCCCACCCCCGAGTGTTGCACGTGAAAGGAGGTGCCCTGGACCCTGGCCTCCGTGAGGCCTTGCAGACCTTGCAGGAACCAGCCGTGAGCCTCCATCCTGGCCAGTTTACAGAGGGGGAAACAGGCCCAGAGGGGGCTATTGATCTGCTTGGTGGGGCTTCCGCTGGACTCAAGCCTCCCAGCTCTCAGCCAGGGGTTCTTTCAGCTGGGCAAAGTGAGTGGTTACAGCGCACCGGAGGCCACCCCAGAATGGGAAGGCATCAGGTGGAGCTCCTGGTTCTGTTTTCCTTTTGAGCTCTGTCCCCTGTGCCCCACAGCTGGGAGCCCACGCTGAGGGCAGAGTCCAGGTGTGCACTCTACACTGGTTCCGCCCTGAAAACCAGGGAGCAGGACCTCAGCCCCCAAGGCCAGCTCAGCACTCAGGCTCTTCCTGGAGACACAGCCATGCCTTTCCTGTTGAGCCTGGAGGTCACCCTCCTGTCTGTCCCAGGACCCACCTTTCTCCGGTCGTTAGTATTGGAGGGGCCTCATCCATCTGTTAGCTGGCGGAAGCTTTGCATACGCTTTGTCTCTTCTGCCAGGCTCTGGAGTTGGTGACTGTAATGGTGGGCAGCCCCCGAGCAGATGGCCTTGTCTCCCTCCTCACCACCTCTGAGGATGCTGATGAGCCCAGGCGGCTGCAGTTTCCCTTGCCTACAGCCCAGCGGTCACTGGAGCCTGGGACCCCCCGGTGGGCCAACTATGTCAAGGGAGTGATTCAACACTACCCAGGTATGGGACCCAGGCCTGGGTTAAGTTCAGGTACCAAGGGCACCACCTCTCAGCCATAGAACCCATTAGCTCATCTAATCCACTATGGGGTAGGCTTGAAGGGTAGAGCATCCCACTGTACAGATGAAGAAACTGATAACCTGAGTGTCCAGAACTTGGCCTGAGTTGCCCATTACATGATTGGAGGAGTCAGGATTCAAACCCTAACCTGTTGGCCTCCAGAGCCCTAAACCAGAAGAACTAGGAAGACTGTATCCCAGGAACCTCAGGGTAGAAGGATGGAGGGCTGTGGGCCCCTTGGCCTACCAGGTTGGTGGCCTTTGACAATTGAGACACATCCGTGGAAGCAGTCAGCAGGCAGTTGCCTCACTTCATACCAAAATACGTGCCCTTCCTGTGTCCAACCTCCCAGACAGCCCAACTCACCATCACCCATTGTTTTCCCTGCAGCTGCCCCCCTCCCTGGCTTCAGTGCAGTGATGGTCAGCTCAGTGCCCCTGGGGGGTGGGCTGTCCAGCTCGGCAGCCCTGGAAGTGGCCACGTACACCTTCCTGCAGCAGCTCTGCCCAGGTACCTCCTAGAACCCAGCTCCCTACTCAGCCTTCCTTCCCTGAGGTCTCCTGTGTCAGGGCTTCTCTTGCTGTAGCTTTCAGAGGGGGCTGGGGAATCTCCCTGGAGTATTCTTGGAACTGCTCCCACCCATCCACCCCTTGTGCCCCTTCCTGGGCCCCATCCTCCTCATCTTACCCTGTGCCACAGACTCAGGGACAATAGCTGCCCGGGCCCAGGTGTGTCAGCGGGCCGAACACAGCTTCGCAGGGGTGCCCTGTGGCATCATGGATCAACTTATCGCTTTGCTGGCGCAGAAGGACCACGCACTGCTCATTGACTGCAGGTTAGGGGCTCCCCTTGTACCCTCCCCCTTCCTGGTGGAGCTTCTGGGCGGAGCATGTCCACTGTGGGCCATGGCAAGCAGACACTTGGCCTTGTCATCTTCCCACTCCAACTCCATCCCAGGTCCCTGGAGACAAGCTTGGTGCCACTGTCAGACCCCAAGCTGGCTGTACTCATCACCAATTCCAACGTCCGCCACTCGCTGGGCTCCAGCGAATACCCCGTGCGGCGGCGCCAGTGTGAAGAAGTGGCCCGGGCTCTGGGCAAGGAGAGCCTTCGGGAGGTGCAGCTGGAGGAGCTGGAGGGTGAGGGCTGGCTGGATGCGCTGTCCTGGAGGTAGCTGGGCAGCCTGGCGGGGCTGCTGGGGCCTCATCTCCAGGACCCCTGCCATGCTCTGCCCACTCCCCAAACACAGTTAACCTAGGGCTGCAACCTCGGCGAGGCTGCTTGAAATCTCAATATCGTTTTTCCTAATGTGAGAATTGTAGACAAGTATAAAGAAGAAAATAATAAGCTATAAGGCCACTACCCAGAGATAGCCACCGTTAGCATTTTAGCGTATTTCCTTTTAGTGTTTTTCTACATCTATGTTTTCTAAGTTGAACATACACAGTATTGTCACCTTCCCCGTCCAGGTACGTGGTAGTTTACTTAACCACTTTCCGAAATCACACCTAACACTGACGAATGTTTTATCCATGCCTTTCTCTGCATTTTCCTATTGGAATTAGATTCCTAGGAGTCGGATTACAGAGAGAAGATACACTGTGTTTAGGGCTCTGATGCATGTGGCCAGGCAGGTATTTAACAGTTTGAAGGTTATATAAATATTAACTCATTTAATTCTCTAGCAGTTCTGTAGAGCAGACAGAGGAATGCAGTAAGTGGCAGCCCTGGGACTTGGACCAGGCACATTAGCTCCACAAGCCCCCATTCTTAACCCCTAGACCATGCTGCTGCTGTTGGGTGTTGTGCCCTCCCTGGCAGTGTGGATGTGCCCATTTCAGGGACACTGACCAGCTCCAAGACACCGTCTTGTCCTCCTTGGTGAACTGTCACAGTCAGACTGGCCCCGCATGCTCTGTGCAGGTGACCTTGGCCAAGATTTTCACACCTGAACACTTTTGCTGCCCCTCCTTTCTACCCCAGCCCTCCTGTACCACTCCTGGGGGGGCTCCGTCTACATCAGGGGCAGTGCTCCCCTCTGCCTTCTCCAGAGTCCTGCCCGGCGGCCCCCACCCACTCTTACACCTCCCTCCTTCCTGTCCTCTGCCTGGCTCCTCCCCTCCAGCTGTTAAACGGCCATTTTCTTCCCTCCTAACCTGGGTTCTCCTGCGAGTCTTCTTGGAAGAGTACCTAATGCTTGTCGCCCCCATTTTCTCACCTCCACTCATTTCTCCTTCCTCTGAATCTCCCTGCCCTCCCCGTGCCACCTGCCATAACAACTCTCCCAGGGGTTCCCTGCATAACCCTGAGGGTGGCTGTGCCCTCCCCGCAGAGCTGGATCTGTTCCTTCACAGCCCTGTTTCTCTGCCACATCTGCCCAGTCTGCCCCCCGCTCTGTCCTCAGCACCAGCCACCAGCGCTCCTCTAAGGACTCAGATCTGAGCCTGCGGCCCCCCCTTTCCACCTGGGGCCCTGGAGCCTTTACCTGGCCCACCGTGGAACCGATCAAACTTTCTTCCCCATAGGCTTCTCCTGACTCCCCCTGTCATTTCCTCGCTCTTGACACGCCTGTTTGAAACTGAGTCACCTCTGAGTCCTCACTGTCCTCCCTCCCACTCTTGTCTCTGACCCTGTCTCTCCTGCACCACCCCGCCATCAGGACCCTCGTTGGTCTCTGTTTAATAGCTGTGGGCTGGGCTCCTGACACGCACCTCTCCCAGCCTGGGTCCTGTGCCCAAGGTGCTCATTTGTCTCCTAGAGCTCAGCTCTGTCCCTCCCCTCCTCCCAGACCCGTGGCACATGCAGGGAATGATGTAGCGAGGTGCCCTGGCGCCCACTCGGGGCTGTGGCTTGCCCTTTCCCCTCAGTGTTACCCCGTGGGGCCGCCTGCTGGTTCCTGGTGTGCTCTGTGCCCTTGGCCTGGGCCATTCCCATCCCCACCCCTGGAGCCCCAGCCCTCGGAGGCCCCATGGTTGTCCTGGCGTAGACAGGATTTCTTCCCCCTCCTGCTCTGTCGGGGCCTCTAGAAGGCAGCATTGTGTCCCAGTCACCTTGGAACCACCCAGCCTGGGACTTTAACTGCTGGCTATTGGCATCCACTGTGTGCCAGGCGCCCTGCTGGGAGCTCTGCAGGTGTCATCGCACCTGGTCCCCATGGTGCCCCGAATCAGGCGGGTGTCCCACCACACGCTTGAGGGGAGGCACCGGAAGCTTAGTGACCAGCCCAAGGTTCTACCTACGGCCTTGTCAAAGCCAGGTCTCCGACCGAAGGCTCCCCTACTGCCCCGGAGCCGTGGTGCCCTGTCACCCAGGTCCGCAGGGACCCTCACCAGTGGGTGGTGGGGTCTGCTGACCCCTTTCCTCTCCAGCTGGCAGAGAGCTGGTGAGCAAGGAGGGCTTCCGGCGGGCACGGCACGTCGTGGGGGAGATCAGGCGCACGGCTCAGGCAGCAGCGGCGCTCAGCCGGGGCGACTACAGAGCTTTCGGCCGCCTCATGGTGGAGAGTCACCACTCCCTCAGGTGAGTCCCCCTGGGCACCAGGCACAGGCCGTCCCCAGGGCCGGGTGGGGCTGGCCCCAGGCCTGCCCCTCCCGCCTCCTTTCTGCAGGGATGACTACGAGGTGAGCTGCCCAGAGCTGGACCAGCTGGTGCAGGCCGCGCTGTCTGCGCCCGGAGTTTATGGTAGCCGCATGACAGGCGGCGGCTTTGGTGGCTGCACCGTGACTTTGCTCGAGGCCTCGGCCGCTTCCCAAGCCATGCAGCACATACAGGTGGGTGGGCGCCAGAGTGGGGGGTGGGGTGGGGGTGGCTGGGACACGCAGGTCCGGGAGCTCAGACCTCCCTGCCCTCCCACAGGCGCAGTACAGAGGCACCGCCACCTTCTACCTCTCCCAGGCGGCCGACGGTGCCAGGGTGCTGCCCTTGTGAGGCGCTCCCAGGCGCACGGTGGACCGGGAGTGCAGCGTGCCAGGCAGCAGGCCGGGAGCTCAGTGCCTCTGGCGCCTGCCCTCCATCTGGGTGCTCAATAAACTTGTGCCTTAGCCCTGGCTGGTTTGGCTGAGTGGTTAGAGTGTCAGCCTGGGGACTGAAGGGTCCTGGGTTCAGTTCTGGCCAAGGGCACATAACTCAGTTGCAGGCTTGATCCTTGGCCCTGGTCAGGGTGCCTGCTGGATGCAACCAATCGATGTCTCTCTCTCACATCGATGTTTCTCTCTCCCTCCCTCTCTCTCTTCTCCTTTCACTCTCTCTAAAAAGCAATGGGAACAATATCCTCGGGTGAGGATTTAAAAAACCAACCAAACAAAATAAACTTGTGCCTCAGACCACAATATCTGCCTGCCTTTAGAGGTGGGTGTGCGCTTGGGAACTGGAGAAGGGTGGGGGTCAGAACTGCTCCCCTTCCCTGGGCAGGCCCCAGAAGACCGGGCAGGGCAGGCCCAGCGGTAGCAAAATCTTTTATTAAGTGCAGAATAAAGCTGGGTCCTTGTCATGCTGGTCCCAGCTCTTTGGTTACAAATGAGCCTGGGTGTGGTGGGTGGGGGCAGCCAGAAGGTCCTTCTGGGACCTCTGCCCCCTTCATGCCTCCCAGAGGACACCCATCCCCAGAGGCACTGGTCCTGTGGTCAGCATGCGGGTGGGTGGGGCCACCAGGGATCCAAGGATGGTGGAGCTGAGGCAGCACCAGGCAGGGGAGGGAGCAGTGGGGACCCAGGTTCTAGGACACAGCCCGGTCGGGGTGGGGAGCTCAGGTATGGAAGAACTGTTGGTCCACCTGGGTGCTGAGAGTCCCACTGGTGGTCAGCGTCTGGCTCACAAACTCCTGGGTCACATGCCGGGTGAGAGAGCCTCCTGCTTCCAGGCGCTGGGACCCCAGGGTCAGTCCATCTACAGGGGAAGAGGTATTGAAGGACCCTGTCTAGGTACCTGCTCTCTTCCTCTGTTAGCTCTGTGCTCCCCCAGGAGAGCCAGGAACCCCCACCTGGCGACCTACCCAGCAGGAAGGGCTCCGTGGCAGTGTGGGTGGTGGTGACACTGCTGTACTCGCCTGTCAGTGGGTGCTGGTAGAGCCCGGAATGGTTGCCCAGCTGTGGGAAGGGCCCTAGAGGAGACAGATGAGCCACTCAGGGGATGGTGCAAGGAGGTGTGGTCCAAGGAAGGATGGGGGTGACAAGGGCAAGGGGCCCTACCTCCATCCTGGGACTCAATGGTGATGATACCCTCTCGCTCCGGCCCAAAGCCTTGGGTGGTCTTGGCCTGCACCTTGAACTTGTAGGGCACGTTCTCACTGAGACCCGGCACCGTCAGCCTGCTCTCAGCACTGTCGCCATCTACCTGGAACGTAGTGGCTGGCCCTGGGCAAGGAAGATGCCTTTAGCCTCTGTGGCTCCCTCTCTACCCTTCCCCTGGCCACCCCTGGCCCTGAGGCGGGCAGCACCTCCTCCGTGGGCCATCTCACAGGTTACCAGGTAGCCCAGGATATCCCCATCAGGCCTGCGGGGCCGCTCCCAGCTCAGCTGCAGTGATTCTGGGCTCAGGGCTGTGAACACCAGTGGGCCCGGGGCACTGGGGGTGCTCAGAGTGAAGGCAGAGCCTGGGGGCAGCAGAGGGAGAGGCTCAGTGTGTGGATGGGTGGGGGCAGCCGTGGGGGCAGGGGTGGTGATGGTGGCAACTCACCTGGCAGGGGGCAGAGTGGACTCTGAGGGTGCACCTGTGACTCAATGGTGATGACACCCTCGCGCTCCGGGCCCCAGCCTTCCTGGCTCTGGGCCCGCACGCGGAACACGTAGGAGTGGTTGGGCAGAAGGTCTTCCACCACGACTGAAGTCTGGCTGGGGTTGGGGATGTTGAGCCGACGCAGCTCACCTGGAGTGGGAGTGGGGGCGGGGGCGGGGGCAGACGCAGCAGCTTTACTCCTACTGCTGGCCCGATCCCCATCACCCACGCAGGATCAGCTGTGGTTTGGGGCCAGCCTAGGGTGGCATGATAGGTCAGGTGGTACACTATACAAGGGATGAGTGGGGCTTGAAGTCCCACCTATGTTCTGGCTGTTTATGAGCCCCGGCTATGCTGCCCAGAGAGGTGCCACTTCCCAGTTCCCACAAAGGCATCTCCTAGGCCAGCAGAGGCCATGGGCCCCAAGGCCAGCGAGGCCTCATTAGGCAACGCCCAGCACAGGGAAAACCTGGAGTCCCGGGGAGATGATGAGGGCTGAGGAGGGAGGGCGCAATGCGGGGCGGTGCGGGGCATGGAAGTGAGACCCTCTGGGCTGGGGGTGGGGTAGGGGAGCTTTAGTGTTCAAGGGACTTGGGTGCGTTCCTGCCACAGCCGTGTGCCCCCGGGTGTCCCAACACGGGGCCTCACCGCCGTTCAGCAGCTGGTACTCCACGCTGTAGCCCTGCAGCGCCCGCTCACACTGCGGCTCTTGCCAGCTCACTTTCAGAGACGTGGGCCCCAGGGCTGAGAACACCAGGCGGGTGGGTGTGTTGGGCAAACCTGCAGCCAAGCGGGAACCTAGAGACAGGAGGTCACAGTCAGCCTGGGGCAGGGGTCCCTGGGCAGGAATCCTAGTTCAACCCCTGACCTCCCTCAGCTGTCGCATCTACACTGACTGCGGGCCAGGTGGCTCACTCATCCTGCAACACCCTGTCCAGGCCACCCAGCACCTCCCGCATGTCCTCAGCGTGGGTGTGGGCCCTGCCAGTGCCAAGAGAGGGCAAGCACTGTGAGACCCCCACCCCTCAGCTGGCCTGGCCCCTCCTGCCCCAGCCCGGCACCCCTGGGAAGACAGGCTGTTAGGCATCAGCGCTGATGTGGATGGAATGGAGTGCAAGGCGGGGGTCACAGGCAGTGACTGCAATGGGCCATGGATGACAGATGGAGCAGGACAGCTGCGGAGACAGGATGGTCACCCTGTACTACCTGGGCCCCAAGAAGGCGCTGCTGGCTGCCCAGCCAGGATTATAGAGTCTGGTGAGTCCCTGGAAGGGGGGAACCCCTTCATCTGAGCCCGACTCCAGGACCCCAAGGCCCAAGACAGCGGAAGCCTGCTCCTCCCGTCTTCCCAAATGGGAGGGAGGCCTAGGGTGGGACAAAACAGCAGTGAGGGCGCAGGAAGTGTGTGTGTTGGAGGACCGGCAGGGGGACAGCAGGCCAGCAGCCCGAGTCTCCGGGAGCTGGAAGAGAGGAGGGGTCAGCAGGAGAGGCAGGGTTGGTGGCGGGCACTCACTTTGGGAGGAGAGGGAGGTGAGGGTGGAGTAGTCTCTGGGCAGCGTGCCCGAGTGTTCCGTGCGGGTCAGCGAGTGGTAGTCCCTCGTGAGGGTGGAGGAGGTGCTCAGCACTCGGTGGGGCAGGTGTGGGCTCAGGTGGGTGCCATAGGTGGCATTGGTCGTGGTCATCCTGTGCAGGGAGTTGGCGCTGCCCGGGAAGGCAAAGTCCATCCGCCCGTTTACCAGGTGCTCTGCAGGGGAGAACCGGGTCACCTGGACAGGCCAGCGCCAGACCTGGCGCCCTGGGAGTTGGGGGATTACCTATCCTCTAGAGGTCCTGGCGTAAATAAATACAACCAGCCTCCCTTGGCCCCGGAGGGACAGAGGCCCGATGTCCCCGGAGGAGTCCAAGGGGCCACACAGGCCTCTGCAGCCGCATTCTCCCGCCAGGCGGGATGCCGCTGTGGACAGTGAGCGCCGCTGATGCCAGCTGGAGACACTGTCCCTGCAGGCAGCCCTGCCCTGGGGAGAGCCCAAGCGCCTGCCCTAGGGGTCCCTTGGCTCTGGGGGGGTCTGCCTCCACTCCTTGGGCAGGAGACGGGCCCTGATGGGGCAGCCTGGCCGCAGCGAGCGAGCCGAGG